AAAGAATTCCCTGGCAAAGAGGCAATGACGCCTTAGTGCTATGGTGCAAATTTCCTGCAGGATTTTCATTCTACCTGGCCTTCTATTCTTTTTTTTCTGCCCTGGATTCTGGGACAGAATTATTATTTCACCTACTGGACCTTTCTGTGATGTGAGGGAGCAGCTGACAGCACAGGAAAGCACACCCCACTTCCTTTCCCCTCAGATACGAGAGCTCAGTGAAAAAACAAAATAGTGTCTTACAAACCGAAGTCCTGCTACCGGGAACGCCGTGTGCTAACATGGCACGCCTTGTCAACGAAGTCTGCGATTCCTGCTACAGAAGGGCATTAAAGCAGTGCAAACTTTTTGGGGCAACCTGGCCCAGAGCACTTTGGGTTTGAAGGCAATAAGGGCTCCAAATTTTGGAGTAAGATTTTCTGAATCAGGGCAACAAGTAGACCACGTTTGCATATACGTCTTAAGGAGGAGTTGAGCACAGGGAGGGAGGACATCAGACATGACTACAGAATGACTGCGAGCCATCTTGTAACCAGCCACGACAGCAGCGACAGAGATGCAGTCCTGTAGCACGGTGGTCTTTGCTGACTGACGTTTGTTCAGGCTGTTTCTGCGTGGTTTTCAACGCTCGCTTTTTGTGGCTGGCTGTCCTGCGTAAGCTGAGCTGATGGGGGCAGGTGGGGAAGGTGGCCAGGCGAAGCGGGAAGGAAGCGCGACGGAAATGCGTTAAAGCTCCTGCACACAGTCCAGCCGAGGGACGTCTGACCCAGATTTGGCTGAAAGCAACCCTCGGTAATGGAAGTGGGGCTTTAGAAGGCAAATCATTGCTGTTACCTGAATGGATCCTGTATAGTCTGCTACTGCTTTTTTGTGTGGTCAAACCTTATTCTAACCTCCAGATTCTCATTCCATAGCCATGGCAGGGTGATGACGAAGGCTGCAATTTATCTCTTTTTACTTAGAGCAATATGCCAATTTTTTGTATTTAGCTCAGGCTATTCCAGTAATTTGGCAGTCTCAAGGTCATTTTGTACCCCTTCATTCCTTCAGGAAGGTCTACACCCAGACAAAAGGTAAAAGCCCATACATCTTTTATTTGAGCATTTCACAAATAAATTACAAGTTTCTTTGCAACCACGTCATAAATCAAAACGTTTATTTACATCTCAGAAACGGCAAGCAATTCAGCAACTAGGGCCCAAAGGAACAATTAACTGGAAAAGTAGCTGAATTAAGTATCTTTAAAATCAAACAAAATATTTTCCTCCTTGCTTGAACTTTAAAAAAAGAAAGAAAATCATAAAAAAATATCTTGGTGGTAACTTACAGACAGAGTTTGTTATGGGGCAAATATGATTTTACAGGAGGGTTCTGTCTGAAGTGGCAGTAACACCACAGGTTGGTTGTACTGACTTCACCATCACAGTCCAGCAGACACGCTCTTAGCAGTCCCAGGCAGCGTGTGCACGCGTGGACGTGCACACAGTCTGTCTTGAGACTGCGTGCATTTTAACCCCGAGTCGTTGAATACAGTCACGTGCTGATGCAGAGGAGGAGTGTAACGTTCAAAGGGCAGATGAAACTTTCCCAAATAGCTGTCCCACTGAAAGCACAGTCATGCAGAATTCTGGCTATAAACCCTTCCCTTTCCACTACTGCTGACCTGCTGATACATAGACAACTAAAAATGCGTCAGTAAACAATTATGTGCATTTTCAAATGATATAATTATGTTAAGAGGGAACAGCTAAAGGTAGCGTAAATACAACATGAGAGCTGGGATAAGCCTGTGTGTTTTAGTGTGGGGGGTTTTTTGCCTTCTTTAAATCAGACTGATTTGGCATACATAACCCATGCTGTCCCTTAACTCATGTATTCATCCATAATTCATGGAATTAAACTACTTATTCCAAGTCCCCATGTCGTGTTAGTCTCCCTCCATCTGCATATATTTTTTATATATATATATTTATATACGTATGTGTGTATCTCTATATATCTACATATATACACACACATAGCAATTGTGCAACTAGTAACTTTCCACTGAGAGTGTACGAGTGTATCTATTTCATTTGGACAAATATAAATCAACTAGCATATCTTGATGTGAGGCAAGAGAACAGTGTAGTCAATGGGTTATGTGTTTTACATAGTAAAAGCTCTACCTGCTTTAAATGGAATAGTTATAATGATAATTACTAATTCACTTTGCATGTTAATTCTAAAGATTATAGATCACAGAGTTAACTGAAAGAAAATAATTCCTATTTTAGTTATTTATCTTGTTGTTAGCATTGGACAGCATAACTCTCAGACAACAGAGTTCCTAGGGATGCAATAAAGGGAAGATAGGATCAGAGTTTCGCCTTAGACTTGGTGTTTTCAAGCTGATGTGACTTTAATATAATACATCTTGCGGGTGTTTGATTTTGTTTTTTTTTTTACTAAATAACACATTATTAAATCCATTCAGAAAGAAACTTAGCCTTTAGACAGACAGTGATGTAAAATTATTTGTGTACAAAGTTCTGCTGTGTTTCAAGTGGCTGAGTGTATTAGTAGAAATTGAGATGAAAATTGGCAGCTTTCCGAGTATTTCAGACAGGAGGCCTTTGCAAAGGAAAGACCAATGATGAAAAAGTTATATTAATAACATGTCTTGCTTTCGGTAGGGATACAACATTTAGCTAGGGCCCTACAAACTGATTGTAAGTACGTAATTTAATAAATGAGGTTTGTACTATAGTGATCCCTAACTTTAACTTAAATGTCTATGCAAGAGACCAGGATGAATTATTTGACTAGAGGCCACAGCAATTTCAAATAAAGGTTAAACCAAATTATGCTGGGTGCCTTAGAGACGTCAAAGTGGTCAGCGAAGGAAGTGAGTCATCTGTGGGAGGCATCGAAACTGTAGGTTTCTCTCTATGCCACAAAAGACAGACTTTTGATAATATATAAGCACTCAACAATCCTGTGACAAATATTGCTGCTTTACTGTTCGCAGCAGACCTGTAAAAGCAATATGTGGGGAGCCCGAGATGAAAAATTTCATCTAAATATGATTAACTGAATCTCAAACAGTTCTAGTAATGGAGTTGCTCTTTGATTTATACCAGCATAAATGTGATGAGAACAGGGCTTAGAAAGTGTATGAGCCAGCGTTCCACTCCTACCTAATTTTCCTTGATACCCAGTAGGAAATTCAGCTCATTTCCCTTTGTTTTAATCTTCATACCTACAGTTACTGAACAAAATGTACATTAATAAATGCACATAGGCATATTGCAAAAGCACACACACGAGGTGTACAGACAGGGGTTCAATTAGCAAGTGCACCAAAAATGAGACCTTTGTCTTGCTAATAAACTCCTCTCAGTGATTGTTATACCCAGTTTGTCTTTTAACAGCAGATACTCTTTTCAAGTGAAATGACTGTTGCACAAGAAGTTTTGTGCATGTTACAAAATGAAACTCAACAAGTTCACTGCCTTTCTGACTCTAGACAGCACTGTATGTCTACGTAGGCTGAAATAACCATTGCAGTGACCAAAAGAGCTAGGTAGAAATAAGTGTTATGTTATAAAAACAGCAAGCTTGGCTGAACAAATGTTAAACATAATTAACCATAAAAAAAAAAAAAAGGACAACCAATTTTGCAACTTCTCTACTAATAAGGTATTGTTGCTCCTTTGTTTCAGGAAATGGGCATCATTTTTGGAGCCAGAGCTGGCAATCTAATTCAGATAGGCGAACTCAGATTCTAATATGGTTCCTCACTTGTATAATGCCAGAGAAAGTGCCACAATCTCTTGTTAAGTGGGCTTTGCTCTCAGTTACAGAGAGGGAGAAATATTAACATGGCAGCTTCATCTTTTCTTTGCATGCTTAGGTAGTCCAGTGATTAGCTCCGTCTGAAGCCTAGAGGCACACAGTAAAGGCTGGGAGGCTTTAATCTAGGTGCAGAAATAGGGATAATGGTGAATGAAGCTTTGATGCCTCTTGATTCAGAGTTTCAGCCATGATACTGACCTCTCTACATGTCAAAAGGTTGCAGTGTTACCCAGAAGAAAGATCTCTTGTCCCCGGGCACAAAGTGGTAGAAAGAGCCTTCCCATTGTTAGTGTAGTTCCAGGCAGAAGAGAGTTTTCTTTGTTCCTGATTTTGGATGCCCTTGGGTTGATCCACCAAATGCTGTGGGAGCCTTCGTTTAAATGAGAAAAGGGTAGCTTTATCTGGTACTTGATAGAAATGACACTAATGTCAATGGGTGTCTTTCCAGAGGTGAGTTTTGCTGGATAGAGAGAGGAAGAAAGCAAGTAGAAAGAGTATTTGTAGGGAGGATATAATTTCTTTTATTCAGGATAGAGGTTTTGTAGATCAAAGCATAGGGTGCACTTTATTTTTGAGTGCATTTGGATGCATTCAGTAAACGTACATGTTGACAATGCAGTGGCGTTACGCATTTGTTGATTTTTTTTCTTTTTGAAAAATTTGCCTGAAAACTTTTTTTTTAAAGACATGACTAGTGATGATAAAGCAGCAGCATATGATTGTTACAAGGCATGGGCAGAGAAATAGAACTAGAAGCATGCCCCTGTTAACGGCTGAGATCAGGCACTTTCCTGCTTAAATGCCTGCAGCTGCCTAACAGCCCACTGCTGAAGCCCTTGCTCAACAGAAACTCCCTCTAACCTCAAAGTACCACTTTGGTAATTGAAACACCTAGAGCGTGCTGCGAGAGGAACAAGGTCAGTGGGAGATTTTTACGTGGTCAGGACTGCAGGAATTAAGCTGGACGAGAAAAATAGGTTCCTGTCTGAAGGCAGCTTGTATCTTATCAAGAAATCTACAATGTTAGGAAAGTTCACAACAAACTAATTTTTCCTCTGTCACTGTTGTTATTACTCCTTCTGATTAAAAAAAAAAAAAAGAAAAAAGACCTTTTTCATATTTGGTGCAATACAGGAAGTCAGAGAAAAGCTATTGTACAGCAATTTTTAACCACCAACACACATTTAATATCTAGTGTAGCATTATGGGAAACTAAATGTATGTTTGGACTTCTTAATGCTTCCAAAAAGCTTTACTATTGAAACATATACGTGGTGTGGAAGATATGCTCATAATCTCACTGTAGTAAAGACAACATACAGTATGACTCATAAGTACTGTAAAAATGCTAACCAAAGAATGCAGCTGCAAAGTTCTATTGCATAAAGAAGCTTTCTTGTTTAAACTTTAAATAAGCAAGTTTATTAAAATATTCTAAGACACTTACCTTACCCTAGTTACTGGCAAGCTCTAATAAAAGCCACAGTCTGTCACTAGTATACTTTTTGTGTTAATTTTATAAAAATTTGGTGTGAGCTTTGATGGATCATTTACAATTTATTAACAAGATGAACATCTTGATACAGTTAGAAGGGTTTTTTTTAACCTTACATGCTCACAGAATAAAAAAGGATTCATATTCATATATAAATGAACACCCTTTTTTCCGTGTCTGCAAACGAGTGTGGTAAGTTTACACACACAAAGAAATGCTCTTGTGACTCTTAACTGGAAACTGTGTGTACATGTGTATGTATGTATATATATATATTTTCAAAACTATATATATGTGTGTGTGAGAATATATTTATATAATAGGGTATCCGTTTTCCTCCTTGCGCTTGCGTATGTAATGACAGCTGCATAGAGGCTGAGAGAGACCGGTGCTTCTGAGAAATACTTGGCTTTTGCTGTTCTAATCAGCGTCTCGTATGCAGACCTCTACCCACTGAACTGCGTCTGCAGAGATGATGAAAGACTGAAATTTTGTAAACTGCCTCGGCAAATAATTATCTGCGGGAACATACAGGAAGCTGACTTTAGCCCCTTTAAAATCAGGCCCAGCGCTGTAAAGCGTGACCCACGCAGTGCCGGCTGCTTCCCGCTTCCTCAGAGCTTCGCAGACCCTGCCGGCACCGCGCTGGGGAGCGAAGCGCTGCGCTCCTGCGGATCGTAAATTCCGGGGGGGGATAAGAAAGCAGTTCGGATCGGAAGCAAGCCGGGGGGACTTGCGTTTCTTGTTTGCTGAACCTGAGGTACAAGAAGTGACACCGCGGAGCCCTGGGCTGCTTTATTTGTGTCAACGCAGTGGCTGCTGTAGTGGTGCGATTGCAACAGGCTCTCTCCTCCTGGCCACGCTACAAACAGCAGATACAGTAGGTTTAGCCGTGGTAGAATAGTTACAATTCATCTGTGGCTGTATTATTCTGCTTTGTCCCTTGCATGCTCCAGATGAATATTTTATAAAAGCTAAACCTGTCGTATAACTCTTCTCTTTATATAAATATATATATATACATACACTCATACATATACAAATACTAACCCACAGACAAAATATTTTCTGAACAGTTGAATAGCAACAAGTCAACAGATAGAAAAAAATGGAGTCAATCTGTTTTCTGCTCCCTCAAGGTCCAGTTTAGATGTCGTGGTCTTTTAACATTCAGAGAAAATTCGCATAAACCTTGCGTCTTGCAAGAGGCATCCGTTAATAAGCGGAAGTTAGGGCAGAGGCTGTCAAACACCAATGTATAGTTGGACAGATTAAGTGAGGTGGCAAATTAAACTGAATCTGGAGCAACTGAGGCCTAGTAGTGAAGAACAGTAACTGTAAACTGCAATCTTCAGATCTGACGTTTTCTTTCTTCTCGTTGCCATGGCAACTCGGTAGGACAGCTTCAAATGTCAGGAGTTCTTACAGACCTAAATGATGGGAAATGGGATTGATTATTACTATGCAGATCACAGTATCTTTTAACTTTTGGGGTTTTTTTTTTCCCCTGATCAAATTACTGATTGAGTGCATGCACATTTGTCACTAATTAAATACAGATTATCCAGGTTCAGAAGCAGTTCTTTGTGAAGACAGAAATCTCAGAGAGGAAACCCCAAAATGTCACCTGGGGCATTCAAAGACCTTTGTAGTGCAATTCAGGAAGATGTAGTGCGGAGGTCTGAGCATAAATCTTGAGCCAGGACCTGATTCTCCCCATCTGACACCTTGATCATCTATGTTAGTGCAAGAGTGCAAGTAAAATGCCAGTGAGTCACTCCCTTGCGTGCACACACACTGACAAGCAAAGAGCAAACAAGCAATATCTTTCTAAAAATGACACTGTTATAGTGTCTTATAGTTTGTGAATATCCAGGGGATAAAAGAGCTGGCATATTGTATTAATGTCGCTACAGAAATAGAAATCTTATGTGGACTGTCTAACTTCTTTTTTTTTTTTAAATAAAGTGAAGGTGGCACAACCTGAATAATTTTACCTATTTTAGATAGGTACCCTGGTAATACAAAGGTAGTAAAGAAATTCAGAAAAACAGAGATCAGGAGCAAATGTAAGATTAGCTGTAGCTAATGAGTCACTTTCCTCCAGTTGCCCTTGGACTCCAGTAAACTGGAAATATTCAGCTTCATAATAAAAACACATAAGAATATTAGCAAAACACATAGCTCAGTTTGATGTGGCTCCTCTCAAACAAATACAACTTCTGACCTTACGGTGTTGGTTTTCTGGTTGTGCTGGTTTTGTCTGGGATGGAGTTAATTTTCTTCACAGCAGCTAGCGTGAGGCTGTGTTTTGGATTTGTGCTGGAAACAGTGTTGATAACACAGGGATGTTTTCGTTATTGCTGAGCAGTGCTTACACACAGTCGAGGCCTTTTCTGCTTCTCACCTCACCCCACCAGCGAGGAGCCTGGGGGGGCCCAAGAGGTTGGGAGGGGACACAGCTGGGACAGCTGACCCTGACTGGCCAAAGGGATGTTCCACACTGTAAGATGTTACGCTCAAAGCTGGGGGAAGAAGGAAGGGGGGATGTTTGGAGTGATGGCATTTGTCTTCCCAAGTAACCGTTACATGTGATGGAGCCCTGCTTTCCTGGAGATGGCTAAGCCCCCGCCTGCCGATGGGAAGTGGTGAATGAATTCCTTGTTTTGCTTTGCTTGCGTGAGCAGCTTTTGCTTTAATTATTAAACTGTCTTTATCTCAACCCATGAGTTTTCTCATTTTTTCCCATTCCTG